GGCTGACCACAGCTACACAGCAGACACCTCTAATCCCTCCACACACTCTCGCTCACTCTGTCGTTCTCACACTGTTCGGCTTCTCTCTTCTTCCGTCTCTTAATGCTTCACAGTGTTGAAGAGAGGATGAGGTGAGAAAAGAGAGCAGCTCTTCAGGGGAATCATTCTTCCTTACCCGAGACGGAGTTAGCCACGGGCAGGAGCTTTTCGCTAGCAATGCCCAAAGCTTCAGACCTGTTTTTGTAGATTTCACAGTGACACTTAAACACAACATGCTGGACACAAACGTCGCTCAGCGTCGCCCTCTAAAGGCGTCATTAACAACCATCAAACGAACAAACGTTGCTCAGCGCCGCCCTCTAAAGGCGTCATTAACAACCATCAAAGAAACAAACGTCGCTCAGCTCCACCCTCTAAAGGTGTCATTAACGACCATCAAACGAACAAACGTCGCTCAGCGCCGCCCTCTAAAGGCGTCATTAACGACCATCAAACGAACAAACGTCGCTCAGCGCCGCCCTCTAAAGGCGTCATTAACGACCATCAAACGAACAAACGTCGCTCAGCGCCGCCCTCTAAAGGCGTCATTAACGACCATCAAACGAACAAACGCCGCTCAGCGCCGCCCTCTAAAGGCGTCATTAACGACCATCAAATAAACAAACGTCGCTCAGCGCCGCCCTCTAAAGGTGTCATTAACGACCATCAAACGAACAAACGTCGCTCAGCGCCGCCCTCTAAAGGTGTCATTAACGACCATCAAACGAACAAACGTCGCTCAGCGCCGCCCTCTAAAGGCGTCATTAACGACCATCAAACGAACAAACGTCGCTCAGCGCCGCCCTCTAAAGGCGTCATTAACAACCATCAAACGAACAAACGTCGCTCAGCGCCGCCCTCTAAAGGCGTCATTAACGACCATCAAACGAACAAACGCCGCTCAGCGCCGCCCTCTAAAGGCGTCATTAACAACCATCAAATAAACAAACAGCGCTCAGCGCCGCCCTCTAAAGGCGTCATTAACGACCATCAAAGAAACAAACGTCGCTCAGCGCCGCCCTCTAAAGGCGTCATTAACGACCATCAAACGAACAAACGTCGCTCAGCGCCGCCCTCTAAAGGCGTCATTAAAAATCATCATATAATCAAACCTTGCTCAGCGGCGCCCTCTAAAGGCGTCATTAATGACCGTCAAATGAACAAGCGTCGCTCAGCGCCCGCCCTCTAAAGGCGTCATTAACGACCATCAAACGAACAAATGTGGCTCAGCGCCGCCCTCTAAAGGCGTCATTAACAACCATCAAATACAGAAACGTGGCTCAGCGCCGCCCTCTAAAGGCGTCATTAACGGACATCAAATACAGAAACGTAGCTCAGCGCCGCCCTCTAAAGGCGTCATTAACGACCATCAAATACAGAAACGTCGCTCAGCGCCGCCCTCTAAAGGCGTCATTAACGACCATCAAATACAGAAACGTCGCTCAGCGCCGCCCTCTAAAGGCGTCATTAACGGACATCAAATAAACAAACATCGCTCAGCGCCGCCCTCTAAAGACGTCATTAACGACCATCAAATACACAAACGTGGCTCAGCGCCGCCCTCTAAAGGCGTCATCAACATTTGAATTACAATACTGCACTGCTCTGCTTTGTTTTCCCTCTTGTTCTCCGTCCTCCCTCTGTAACGCTAAAACTCGTGTCAGGCACATGATTGAGGCCGTGAGGTGGGCTCCGTGTTTCTCTGCTGAGCTGATTTATTGTAGATTTCCGAAGGCGACCTCACTGTACTGCTCACTAATCCCCCTCCTCGTTCCCCCTTCACTCCTTAAAGTCCAGGATCCAGAGATTCTCCCTAACATGATTAAGCAGGACTCGTGTTTCAGAAAGTCCTTCCTCACTCAGCTTCACTCAGTGATCAGCAGTGCAGTCTAAAGCAAATCTCAGCTCTTAGGAAAACTACGAAAGTTCAAACAGGCGCAATTACCAAAATATCAAAATGATCAAATCATCAAAAAGTCTTTACTCTTTAAAGATCAACAAGCACTGCTGCAACTTTACTAAGATCATCAGGATGGACAATACAGCGGTACGTTAATGACGTAATGATGTTTTTAGTAATATTAGTTTATAACAAGGTCATTAAGTTTCAATAGATAGTCAACGTTAATGTTACTTGTTCTCGTTAAGAGGTCAGTCGTGTGAGTTTAGGGTTTAGAGTTGGAATAATCATTGTGAGTTTAGGGTTTAGAGTTGGGATTATCTTGGTGAGTTTAAGGTTTAGAGCTGGGATTATTGTTGTAAATTTAGGGTTTAGATTTGGGATTATCGTTGTGAGTTTAAGGTTTAGAGTTGGGATTATTGTTGTAAATTTAGGGTTTAGAGTTGGGATTATCGTTGTGAGTTCAGGGTTTAAAATTGGGATTATCGTGGTGAGTTTAAAATGTAGAGTTAGGATTATCATTGTGAGTTCAGGGTTTAGAGTTGGGATTATCGTTGTGAGTTTAGGGTTTAGAGGTGGGATTATCGTTATGAGTTCAGGGTTTAGCGTTGGGATTATCATTGTGAGTTCAGGGTTTAGCATTGGGATTATCATTGTGAGTTCAGGGTTTATCGTTGGGATTATCGTTATGAATTTAGGTTTTACAGTTGGAATTATCGTTGTGAGTTTAGGGTTTAGCATTGGGATTATCATGCTGGGTTTAAGGTGTAGAGGTGGGATTATTGTTGTGAATTCAGGGTTTATCGTTGGGATTATCATTATGAATTTAGGTTTTACAGTTGGGATTATCGTTGTGAGTTCAGGGTTTAGAGTTGGGATTATCGTTATGGATTCAAGTTTTACAGTTGGGATTATCATTGTGAGTTTAGGGTTTAGCGTGGGGATTATCATGGTGAGTTTAAGGTGAAGAGTTGGGATTGTCGTTGTGAGTTCAGGGTTTAGCGTTGGGATTATCATTGTGAGTTCAGGGTTTAGAGTTGGGATTATTGTTGTGAGTTCAGGGTTTAGAGTTGGGATTATCGTTGTGAGTTCAGGGTTTAGCGTTGGGATTATCATTGTGAGTTCAGGGTTTAGAGTTGGGATTATTGTTGTGAGTTCAGGGTTTAGAGTTGGGATTATCGTTGTGAGTTCAGGGTTTAGAGTTGGGATTATCATTGTGAGTTTAGGGTTTAGAGTTGGGATTATTGTTGTGAGTTCAGGGTTTAGAGTTGGGATTATCGTTGTGAGTTCAGGGTTTAGAGTTGGGATTATTGTTGTGAGTTCAGGGTTTAGAGTTGGGATTATCGTTGTGAGTTCAGGGTTTAGCGTTGGGATTATCGTTGTGATTTCAGGGTTTAGAGTTGGGATTATCGTTGTGAGTTCAGGGTTTAGAGTTGGGATTATCGTTGTGAGTTCAGGGTTTAGAGTTGGGATTATCATGGCGAGTTGAGTTTAGTTTGTCATTCTCTCCTCTCTGTGAAACCATGTTAATGGTCACGTCATTGTTTCTGGTGTGTTCACACATTTTTGCGTATGGTATCCAGGAGCTGTGGTGGTCCTGCTGTGCAGTGCATTGTAGGATTGGGGCTGTGGGTCCAGGTGGCCCTGAGCGCTTGTAAAGCGAGCCGTGGGGATATTGCTTACAAAAGAAACTGTAGAGGAAATTACACTTCCTGCAGAGCGGCTGCCCTCGGCCCGTCGCTTCGTTACTCATTACCTGCCTTTATGATTGTCTCTCTGAGGAAGAGGCTGTGATCTTCCTCTAAACCTGCCTCGAGGAACATCCTCCCCACAGCCTGGAGACTCAGGGACCCTCTCTGAACTGCTTCAGAACCACATCAAAGCCCTGCAGGCTTAGAAACACATGATCAGGCTTTTTCACTCTCCCTGTATCTCTCACTCTCTCTCTCTCTCCCTGTATCTCTCTCCCTCTCTCTCTCTCTGTATCTCTCTCTGTCTCTCTCTGTATCTCTCACTCTCTCTCTCTCTCCCTGTATCTCTCTCTCTCTCCTCTCTCTCTCTCTGTATCTCTCTCTCTCTCTCTCTCTCTCTCTCTCTCACCCTGTATCTCTCTCCCCCTCTCTCTCTCTCTCTGTATCTCTCACTCTCTCTCTGTATCTCTCTCTCTCTCTCTATCTCTCTCTCCCTGTATCTCTCTCCCTCTCTCTCTCTGTATCTCTCTCTCTCTCTGTATCTCTCACTATCTCTCTCTCTCTCCCTGTATCTCTCTCTCTCTCTCTCTCTGTATCTCTCTCTCTCTCTCTCTCTCCTTCCTCCTGCAGACCGAGATAAGTCAGTGTTGACCGGAGGCGAGGTCACTCTCAGTCTTCCAGGGTCTGTAATGTATTTGAATGGCTCCTGTAGGTGAAGCGCCCCCTGCTGATCAGTTTGAAGTTGTTTTTCAGTTTTTAATAGTGTTCTCTTGGTTCTGCTGATTTAATTGGAGAGGACGATCTGTTATACCGTAGCAGAGCCCAGAATCAGCAAGAACATCGTACACCTCATCACAGACCTTCAGCAGAATGAATGAATGAATGACTGCGATGGACTGGCGACCTGTCCAGGGTGTATCCTGCCTTCTGCCCAATGACAGCTGGGATAGGCTCCAGCACCCCACCGCGACCCAGAAAGATAAACGGTTTAGATGATGGATGGATGGATGAATGAATGAAAGATGAAGAGAAAATCAGAGGAGAAAAGAACAAAAGAGAAGAAAAGAAAGAACAAAAACAGCCGTCATTCTTTACCTGTGTTGTATTTCTACTCATGTTTACTCCAGTTTATGTTTTTACACTTACGCTTTTGAGGATTTATGTACCAAAACAGTCACAGTTCACGATTACATTCATTTTCTAACCTCTTTATGCCTTAAACAGGCTTAAACACGCCTTATATAGGCTGAATGGGCGTGGCTAAACTGCTGTAGACTGAATGGGTGGGGCTAAATTGCTGTAAGATGAATGGGTGGAGCTGAATATCCAGCCATCTCTCATGTATAGTTTTCTCTCTCTCTGTGTTCCAGAGGCGGTGGAGTCACTGGTGCGTCACGCTCAGAACCAGACGGTGGCGCTCTTGCTCTCCACATACCGGGACCTGGCGGAGCGTGCAGCACCCCATGTGTCTGAACTCTTCACGGACATGGGTCTGTTTGTGCTGGGGGCGGAGCTTGGGCTGGAGGAGGCGGTGCAACGTTTTTTCCACGCCCTCTTCCCGCCGGTGTTCGAGCGGCTGGTGGAGCCGGGCCTGGATCCACTGGACCCGGCCTACGGAGAGTGCGTGCGCTCGGTGGGCCGCGGGCTGGCGCCGTACGGGAGCTATCCTGGCATGCTGGCCAAGCAGCTGACCCGCGCCTCACTGCCCAACCGCGTCCTCCTGCAGGCGCTGCACCTGGGCGTGGAGGTCATCAACACCACGGACCACCTGCAGCTCAGCCGCGAGTGCCGCAAGGCGCTGCTGCGCATGAGCTACTGCCCGCACTGCCAGGCGCTGATCAGCAGCAGGCCCTGCATGGGATACTGCCTCAACGTCCTGCGCGGCTGCCTCGCCAGCCTCGCCGAGGTACGTACACACTTCTGTTTCAGTTTTACGTTTCATCACTTAGAAGGAATGTGTGAAGAGTGGGCGGAGTCAAACGGGGGGGGCTTTATACCCCTCTAGCCCAGGGTGGGCACTGGACATCGAGACCTTAGGATCATGTGCAGCTGCTCCAGAGTGTCACATTCTATTGGTCAGTACTTTTCTATGGAGATTATACAAGCTGTGTGTAACGCCTGGATACCTTTGACATGTGGTGTAATACAAAGTACCTACAGCAGTGGTCAGAACGCCTCCTCCTGGTGATCTGCGCCTCCAGTTCTGACATGTTGCACCCTACTGAACACTGATCCAGCCAATCAGAGACTTCTGAATACGTTAATGAGCTGCAGCAGGTGTGGCAGAGTGTGGTTGGACCAAGATTCTACAGGAAGGTGGATCTCCAGAACCAGCGTCTGTGACCACTGACCCAGAGCAACTGCAAAAACGAGATAAAAGCTCTAGTTCTAGTTCTAAACAATACGAGCTAACATCCTGATCAAGTTCTGAACAATACGAGCTAACATGCCAGTCAAGTTCTAAACAATACGAGCTAACATGCTGTTCTAGTTCTAAACAATACGAGCTAACATGCCAGTCAAGTTCTAAACAATACGAGCTAACATGCTGATCAAGTTCTAAACAATACGAGCTAACATGCTGTTCTAGTTCTAAACAATACGAGCTAACATGCTGATCAAGTTCTAAACAATACGAGCTAACATGCTGATCAAGTTCTAAACAATACGAGCTAACATGCTGTTCTAGTTCTAAACAATATGAGCTAACGTGCTGTTCTAGTTCTAAACAATATGAGCTAACGTGCTGGTCTAGTTCTAAACAATACGAGCTAACGTGCCGGTCTAGTTCTAAACAATACGAGCTAACATGCCAGTCAAGTTCTAAACAATACGAGCTAACATGCCAGTCAAGTTCTAAACAATACGAGCTAACATGCCAGTCAAGTTCTAAACAATACGAGCTAACATGCCAGTCAAGTTCTAAACAATACGAGCTAACATGCTGTTCTAGTTCTAAACAATACGAGCTAACATGCCAGTCAAGTTCTAAACAATACAAGCTAATATGCCAGTCAAGTTCTAAACAATACGAGCTAACATGCTGGTCTAGTTCTAAACAATACGAGCTAACATGCTGTTCTAATTCTAAACAATACGAGCTAACATGCCAGTCAAGTTCTAAACAATACGAGCTAACATGCCAGTCAAGTTCTAAACAATACGAGCTAACATGCCGGTCTAGTTCTAAACAATACGAGCTAACATGCTGGTCTAGTTCTAAACAATACGAGCTAACATGCCAGTCAAGTTCTAAACAATACGAGCTAACATGCCAGTCAAGTTCTAAACAATACGAGCTAACATGCTGTTCTAGTTCTAAACAATACGAGCTAACATGCCAGTCAAGTTCTAAACAATATGAGCTAACGTGCTGGTCTAGTTCTAAACAATACAAGCTAACATGCTGTTCTAGTTCTAAACAATACGAGCTAACATGCCAGTCAAGTTCTAAACAATATGAGCTAACGTGCTGGTCTAGTTCTAAACAATACGAGCTAACATGCTGTTCTAATTCTAAACAATACGAGCTAACGTGCTGGTCTAGTTCTAAACAATACGAGCTAACGTGCTGTTCTAGTTCTAAACAATACGAGCTAACATGCCAGTCAAGTCCTAAACAATACGAGCTAACGTGCTGGTCTAGTTCTAAACAATACGAGCTAACATGCTGGTCTAGTTCTAAACAATACGAGCTAACATGCCAGTCAAGTTCTAAACAATACGAGCTAACATGCCAGTCAAGTTCTAAACAATACGAGCTAACGTGCTGGTCTAGTTCTAAACAATACGAGCTAACATGCTGGTCTAGTTCTAAACAATACGAGCTAACATGCTGTTCTAGTTCTAAACAATACGAGCTAACATGCTGTTCTAGTTCTAAACAATACGAGCTAACATGCCAGTCAAGTCCTAAACAATACGAGCTAACGTGCTGGTCTAGTTCTAAACAATACGAGCTAACATGCCGGTCTAGTTCTAAACAATACGAGCTAACGTGCTGTTCTAGTTCTAAACAATACGAGCTAACGTGCCGGTCTAGTTCTAAACAATACGAGCTAACATGCTGTTCTAGTTCTAAACAATACGAGCTAACATGCTGTTCTAGTTCTAAACAATACGAGCTAACATGCTGATCAAGTTCTAAACAATACGAGCTAACATGCCGGTCTAGTTCTAAACAATATGAGCTAACATGCTGTTCTAGTTCTAAACAATACGAGCTAACATGCTGTTCTAGTTCTAAACAATACGAGTTAACATGCCAGTCAAGTCCTAAACAATACGAGCTAACATGCTGTTCTAGTTCTAAACAATACGAGCTAACATGCTGATCAAGTTCTAAACAATACGAGCTAACATGCCAGTCAAGTTCTAAACAATACGAGCTAACATGCTGGTCTAGTTCTAAACAATACGAGCTAACATGCCGGTCAAGTTCTAAACAATACGAGCTAACATGCTGGTCTAGTTCTAAACAATACGAGCTAACATGCCGGTCTAGTTCTAAACAATACGAGCTAACATGCTGTTCTAGTTCTAAACAATACGAGCTAACATGCTGTTCTAGTTCTAAACAATACGAGTTAACATGCCAGTCAAGTTCTAAACAATATGAGCTAACACGCTGATCAAGTTCTAAACAATACGAGCTAACATGCTGATCAAGTTCTAAACAATACCAGCTAACATGCTGATCAAGTTCTAAACAATACCAGCTAACATGCTGATCAAGTTCTAAACAATACGAGCTAACATGCTGATCAAGTTCTAAACAATACCAGCTAACATGCTGATCAAGTTCTAAACAATACGAGCTAACATGCCAGTCAAGTTCTAAACAATACGAGCTAACATGCTGATCAAGTTCTAAACAATACGAGCTAACATGCCAGTCAAGTTCTAAACAATACCAGCTAACATGCTGATCAAGTTCTAAACAATACGAGCTAACATGCTGATCAAGTTCTAAACAATACCAGCTAACATGCTGATCAAGTTCTAAACAATACGAGCTAACATGCCAGTCAAGTTCTAAACAATACGAGCTAACATGCCAGTCAAGTTCTGAACAATACGAGCTAACATGCTGGTCTAGTTCTAAACAATACGAGCTAACATGCTGGTTAAGTTCTAGACAATACGAGCTAACATGCTGGTCAAGTTCTAAACTGTCTCCTGTGTTGCAGGTGGACTCCCACTGGAGGGAGTTTGTGCGCTCCCTGGAGGCGCTGTCCACCCGGATGAGCGGTGGAGCAGATCTGGAGCGGGCACTAGCCGCGGTGCCCACCGTCGTCCGAGACGCCATCGCACACGCGCACAAGAACGCCCCCTGGCTGTCCACCCAGGTCAGGAGATTGTTTATACACGTCTTCTTCAGGCATGTAGAATCACCGTCGCCCTCTTAAGGCGACTCCTGGTTGTAGGTTCCATTGTTATGGACGTTCTTTCTGTCTCTCAGTGTTTGTACTTCAGCCTCGTGCTGAACAGTGAAAGTTCTGAAGGATGAATCATTCTCCGCTCATGTGGTTCCACGTTTTGTCCCCGAAGTGACCGAAGGACTGAGAACGGGATCCTGCGAGAGCTTTATGTGCTCTGCGTTTTCGGTTTAGTCATCGGTTTGGGGAAAAACAAGCCTCACACTCGCTGCTCTACACACACACGACCAGCTGGCCGAGGGTTTTATTACGGCGGCAGCGCCAGCAGAGTCATCTGAGCCTCTTCCCACTGTGGAGCTGGAGGATGAACACATTAAAGGGCCCAAATCACTCAGTTTGCTAATGTCCTATTCTGCTCCCCACCCTGAGGACCACCTGTGAGGTTTATGAGGTTTTCGGCTGAATGAGTGGAGCTAAACTGCTGTAGGCTGGGTGTTTGTGACATCACAAAATCAATTCAAAACAGGCCTGGATGGACTGAGTGGATGTGAGTGTGAACGCTACATCAAACTCTTATTTTTAAAAAGTTGAAGTAAGTTGATTTTTTGATGATATGGGCTCTTTAAACTCTTCCCAGCGGCCTCAGCATTCCTATATTCGGGAGCTTTTCCAAACCAGCAGCCTGAAATCCACTGCGGGTTTATACGAACACCACTAGGACGAGGAGGAATGTGGCACAGCCCGAAATCATACATACCACTCCAGAGAGAGAGAGAGAGAGAGAGAGAGAGAGAGGTGTATATGTATACATATATATAGACAGAGAGGGAGAGAGAAACAGAGACAGAGAGAGAGACAGAGAGAGAGAGAGACAGAGAGAGAGACAGAGAGAGAGAGAGAGAGAGAGAGAGAGGGTTTAGTTTATAATGAAGAATCTCTGTAAAATCCATCCATCTGTCATTACTGATCACTCAGCACCATCTAGTGGCCATTCTTTGCTACTGCTACTAGAGTGTGATTGTATACAATCATAACTTACATAACATAGTTTAAAATATCATAACATAGCCTATAAAAGAGATTTGTACATCTTTTTCATTATTTCAAACACTGTGTGAAGTTTATAAAGAAGAAATAATACACTGTGATTTTCTGTTCATTTCTGTGACTGATCGTTTTGAATATGAGGCATTCTGGGTAATAGTTTGATCATAACTGATATGTAACACGTATAACTGTGTGGGTTATGGCTGCTGTTGAAATGGACTTAAATTACTTAGAATTAAATCTATAATGGGTAATTCTGAGGATCCAGTCAGGAGGTAAATATGAGTAATATGTCTCTCTCTCTCTGCAGATCCGCGGTGCGTGTGGCCACCCCAGCAGGCTGCAGTCCGGTGGGGTCCAGCAGGGGGTCCGGGACTCACTCCCCCTCCGAGTTTCAGCCAAACCTGCAGAGGAAACTCTCAGCAGCAGGAGACAGTGAGTGACTCTGTCATATCTCAGCACAAACTCAGTGTTATAATCAATAAGAGAGACATTATAAACGTGTAAACGTGTAAATGTGTCTGTCGTGACTGAAATTTGGGGCTGTCGCTATTGATCATATCAAAAATCGACGAATCTGCCCATCATTTAACAGATACTGAGTGTTTTTTCCTTTCAGGAATTCTACAGCCAAGGTGTGAAATACATGGGGTCCTGGGGGGATCTGGGATTCCCTGATTGACCTCTCAGACCCTCTGAATGTCTCTTTATAGAAAACAGATGAACTAGAAAAGCTTTTTGTCTGAGAGAATGTGTCTGGCTAATACAGCGTATGAGGACACCTAGTGGACAAAGCGAGAAACTGCAATAAAAAAATTCTGTCTGTCTGTGATGTGTTTACAGTTTGTGTACATGCACTATATGGCCAAAAGTATATGGACACCTGACCATCGCACCTATATGAGCTTGTTGGACGTTCCATTCCAAATCCTTAGGCTTTAATATGGAGCTGGTCCCTCTTTGCAGCTCTAACAGCTTCTACTCTTCTGGGAAATTGGAGATAGTCTGTGGGAATTTGTGTCCATTCAATCTAAAGAGCATTTGTGAGGTCAGACACTGATGGTGGACGAGAGGGTCTGGCTCACAATTTCCATTCTAGTTCATCCCAAAGGTGTTCAGTGGGGTTGAGGTCAGGGTTCTGTGAGGCCACTGGAGTTCCTCTGCACCAAACTGGTCACTCCATGTCTTTATGGAGCTGCTTTGTGCTCAGGGGCTCAGTCATGCTGGAACAGGAAAGGCTCTTCCCCAAACTGCTGACACAAAGCTGGAAGCAGATAACTGTGTAAAATGTCTTTGTGCTGCAGCATCAACATCACCCTTCACTGGAACTGAGGAGCCCAAACCCTGAAAAACAGCCCCGCCCATCATCCCTCCTCCACCAAACTCTACTGTTGGCTCTGCATTCCAGTAGGTAACGTTCTCCTGACATCCACCAAACCCAGATTCATCATCAGACTGACAGACAGAGAAGATTCATCACTCCAGAGAACACGGTTCCACTGCTCCAGAGTCCAGTGGCGGCGCTTTACACCACTCCAGCCGACACTTGGAATTCCGCATAGTGATCTTAGGCTTGTGTGCAGCTGATCAGCCATGGAGACCCATTTAATGAAGCTCCTGACGCTCAGGTCTTGTGCTGACGTTGCTTCCAGAGGAGAGGCGTGTGGTCCACCACTTCATTGCTGAGCTGTTGTTGCTCCTGGACGCTTCCATTTCACAGTAATAGCACTTACAGTTGTCTGGGGCAGATCTAGCAGGGCAGAAAATTTCACAAACTGACTCGTGGCAGAGGCGGCACCCTATGACAGTGCTATGTTTAAAGACATTGAGCTCTTTAGTTCGACTCTCTACTGCCAGTGTTTGTCTATGGAGCATGGCTGTGTGTTTGATTGCATACACCTGCTGGTAATGAGTGAAATCAATAATTAGGAGGGGTGTCCACATACTTTTGGCCATATAGTGTGTACATGTGTGTAAAGTGTCTGTCTGTATGTGTGTTCTGTAGGGACTTTGTCGGGGGTCTGCGTCTGTACCGGGCCTTTTACGGTGGTCTGGCTGATCAGCTGTGTGTGACCGAGCTCGCATCAGGAGACGGATTAGCCTGCTGGAACGGAGCCGACGTGGTCAGGAGGTACACACACACACACACACACACACACACACTAACGCACACACAGACACACACACAGACACACACACACACACACACACACCCACACACACACACACTAACGCACACACAGACACACACACACACAGACACACACGAACACACACCCACACACACACACTAACGCACACACAGACACACACACACACACACGAACACACACCCACACACACACAGACACACACACACACACACACTAACGCACACACACACACAGACACACACACACACACACACGAACACACACCCACACACACACACACTAACGCACACACACTAACACACACACACTAACACACACCCACACACACACACGAACACACACCCACACCCACACACACACACAACACACACCCACACACACACAGAAACAGACACACCCACACACACCCACACACACACACTAACGCACACACACACACACACACACTAACGCACACACACACACATGAACACACACACACACGAACACACACTAACGCACACACAGACACACACACACACACGAACACACACTAACGCACACACAGACACACACACACACACACACACGAACACACACCCACACTAACGCATACACACGAACACACACCCACACACGCACACACTAACGCACACACACTAACACACACCCACACACACACACTAACGCACACACTAACACACACCCACACACACACACTAACGCACACACACTAACACACACCCACACACACACACTAACGCACACACACACACAGACACACACACACACACACACACACGAACACACACACACACACACACACACACTAACGCACACACACACACAGACACACACACACACACACGAACACACACCCACACACACACACACTAACGCACACACAGACACACACACACACACACACGAACACACACACACCCACACACACACACTAACGCACACACACTAACACACACCCACACACACACACTAACGCACACACACACACACACAGGAACACACACACCCACACCCACTAACACACACACACACTACTTTTCCCAGCAGCACATGCATAGTGGACTTATAGGATAGGTGTTTCTGATAAAGTGGTCATTTAGAGAAAGCGCAAGGTGGGTGTTTCTAATAAAGTGGCCAGCTAGTCAAAGCACAAGGTAGGTGTTTCTAATAAAGTGGCCAGTTAGCAGAAGCACAAAGTGGGTGTTTCTGATAAAGTGGCCAGTGAGTGGAAGCAAAAGGTTGGTGTTTCTAATAAAGTGGCCGGTTAGTGTCTTTTTTCTTGGCTAAAGTGATACTGTCATCTTTCACCATCAGCACAGTTCATAACAGATACACCTCTCTCTCTCTCTCTCTCTCTCTCTCTATTTCTCTCGCACTCCTGACCCATCCATCTCTCTGCTGCTCGTTTGTCTTCTGTCCTGTCGGCGCCCCCCGGTGGTATTTCCTCTGAGCTGTCACCGCTGTCAGCAGCAGGTGAGGCTGTATTTCAGAGAGAGAGAGAGAAGGAGAGAAAGGGAGAGAGAGTGAAAGATAAAGAAGGAGAGGGAGAGAGAGAGAGAGAGATAAAGAAGGAGAGGGAGACAGAGAGAGATAAAGAAGGAGAGAGAGAGTGAAAGATAAAGAAGGAGAGGGAGAGAGAGAGAGAGATAAAGAAGGAGAGGAGAGAGAGAGAGATAAAGAAGGAGAGGGAGAGAGAGAGAGATAAAGAAGGAGAGAGAGAGTGAAAGATAAAGAAGGAGAGGGAGAGAGAGAGAGAGAGATAAAGAAGGAGAGGGAGAGAGAGAGAGATAAAGAAGGAGAGAGAGAGAGAGAGAGAGAGATAAGAAGAAGAGGGAGAGAGAGGGAGAGAGAGAGATAAAGAAGAAGAGGGAGAGAGAGGGAGAGAGAGAGAGATAAAGAAGGAGAGGGAGAGAGAGAGAGATAAAGAAGAAGAGGGAGAGAGAGAGAGATAAAGAAGGAGAGAGAGAGAGAGAGAGATAAAGAAGGAGAGAGAGAGAGAGAGATAAAGAAGAAGAGGGAGAGAGAGGGAGAGAGAGAGAGATAAAGAAGAAGAGGGAGAGAGAGGGAGAGAGAGAGAGATAAAGAAGGAGAGGGAGAGAGAGGGGTTGTGGATGTTTAATGAACGCTGAGCAGAGATGTCAAAGGACAGTTCCTGTCCAGTGCGGCTTTAATCAGAGTAGCACTGTTTGAGGCGCCCTCTCGTGGCTGTGGAGAGGAACTGCGTCAGTGTTGTAGTATTCACATTAAGATTTGCATATACTGATTTAAACCTTCACAATGTAGTATCTGGCTGCTGCTGTTGTTACTGTGTCAAGTGAAAAGGACTGAATTAATATTTAAAAGTACAGTTCTGTTAAAGAGAATCAGTAACTGACCAGCAGTTTAGCCCCACCATTCAGTCTACGGCAGTTTAGCTCCACCATTCAGTCTACAGCAGTTTAGCTCCACCATTCAGTCTACAGCAGTTTAGCCCCACCATTCAGTCTACAGCAGTTTAGCTCCACCATTCAGTCTACAGCAGTTTAGCCCCACCATTCAGTCTACAGCAGTTTAGCTCCACCATTCAGTCTACAGCAGTTTAGCTCCCACCATTCAGTCTACAGCAGTTTAGCTCCACCATTCAGTCTACAGCAGTTTAGTCCCACCATTCAGTCTACAGCAGTTTAGCTCCACCATTCAGTCTACAGCAGTTTAGCTCCACCATTCAGTCTACAGCAGTTTAGCCCCACCATTCAGTCTACAGCAGTTTAGCTCCACCATTCAGTCTACAGCAGTTTAGCCCCACCATTCAGCTACAGCAGTTTAGCTCCACCATTCAGTCTACAGCAGTTTAGCTCCACCATTCAGTCTACAGCAGTTTAGCTCCACCATTCAGTCTACAGCAGTTTAGCTCCACCATTCAGCTACAGCAGTTTAGCTCCACCATTCAGTCTACAGCAGTTTAGCTCCACCATTCAGCTACAGCAGTTTAGCTCCACCATTCAGCTACAGCAGTTTAGCTCCACCATTCACTCTATAGCAGTTTAGCTCCACCATTCAGTCTACAGCAGTTTAGCTCCACCATTCAGCTACAGCAGTTTAGCTCCACCATTCAGTCTACAGCAGTTTAGCTCCACCATTCAGTCTACAGCAGTTTAGCTCCACCATTCAGCTACAGCAGTTTAGCTCCACCATTCAGTCTACAGCAGTTTAGCTCCACCATTCAGTCTACAGCAGTTTAGCCCCACCATTCAGTCTACAGCAGTTTAGCTCCACCATTCAGTCTACAGCAGTTTAGCTCCACCATTCAGCTACAGCAGTTTAGCTCCACCATTCAGTCTACAGCAGTTTAGCTCCACCATTCAGTCTACAGCAGTTTAGCTCCACCATTCAGTCTACAGCAGTTTAGCTCCACCATTCAGCTACAGCAGTTTAGCCCCACCATTCAGTCTACAGCAGTTTAGCTCCACCATTCAGCTACAGCAGTTTAGCCCCACCATTCAGCTATAGCAGTTTAGCTCCACCATTCAGTCTACAGCAGTTTAGCTCCACCATTCAGCTACAGCAGTTTAGCCCCACCATTCAGTCTACAGCAGTTTAGCTCCACCATTCAGTCTACAGCAGTTTAGCTCCACCATTCAGCTACAGCAGTTTAGCTCCACCATTCAGTCTACAGCAGTTTAGCTCCACCATTCAGCTACAGCAGTTTAGCTCCACCATTCAGCTACAGCAGTTTAGCTCCACCATTCAGCTACAGCAGTTTAGCCCCACCATTCAGTCTACAGCAGTTTAGCTCCACCATTCAGTCTACAGCAGTTTAGCTCCACCATTCAGTCTACAGCAGTTTAGCTCCACCATTCAGCTACAGCAGTTTAGCCCCACCATTCAGTCTACAGCAGTTTAGCTCCACCATTCAGCTACAGCAGTTTAGCTCCACCATTCAGTCTACAGCAGTTTAGCTCCACCATTCAGTCTACAGCAGTTTAGCTCCACCATTCAGCTACAGCAGTTTAGCCCCACCATTCAGCTACAGCAGTTTAGCCCCACCATTCAGTCTACAGCAGTTTAGCCCCACCATTCAGTCTACAGCAGTTTAGCCCCACCCATTCACATTAAAGTTATAAGGAGTGTTTCAGCCCAAACTGCTTTTTGAATATGGCGCAGCCAATCAGAACAGAGCTTATTTACATATGTTAGTCTAAAAGGCTACACAGTTCACTGTTTTTGGTGAATTAAACCTCACAAACATTATAATACGTGTATTGAAGGAAAATAAATACATCAATAAATAAATATACTAACTAACTAATTCATGTGTTCATGTATTTAATTTATAGATAAATAAACATTAATTAATGTATATCAAAACATCAGAGAGACCCAGATTAACTTAATGAGGACAAGTACGCACACACACATATTAACTGATAAAATAATATTGATTAAATGACACCAGTAATTCATTACTGCATTTTGTTATTCAATTAATAAATGAATCAGTCAGAGCACAGAAATATGAATAAAACTGTATCTGTTTTTTTCTATATTTACTATTAAATGTTAAAAATCATAAATATTAATGATATTTATTTTCTTTTGTTTATCCCAATTAACCCCACAGGGGGGCTAATGAGAGCGGACCACCTCGGCGGGACAAAGAATAAATTACTGAATATAAATAAACAAATAAAATAAATAACTAAATATATAAAAATACATAAATAAATGAGTGAATTCATTCATTATTAATAAGTAAATAGACATCAATGCATTAATAAATGCATTTCAAAATAATTAACAAAAAAATACAAAATTTAAATAAAATAAGTAAATTATATTTTAAATGAACACATAAATATTAACTAGTGAAAACGTGGCCGAGCGCTGTGTTTATGATATCATGAGATAAATATAATTAACTTCCTTTACAAAGCCAGAGATGTTTACTTCATCACATCACAGGAACTAAATAAACCAGGTGATACAAATTAAAAGT